GTGTGTGTGCTCTCAGCCTCAGAAGGGAACTGAGCGTGCGCGGGGCTCTCCCGCTGGCGCAAGATACGTTCGGCGGAAGAGGCTGCTCTTTCTGTTCCTCCCCTTTCCCCATCTGTGAGGCGGGGGCGGGCTTTGAGGGGGAGGCGCAGAGGTTGCCGGGAAGCCTTGCGGGGACGCGGATCCCGATGAGACTCCAGGCTTCCGTGAGTGGCGTCTCTACCCGTGCGAAGGGGTCCCGCGCTGGAAGCGAGCGTGGAGGTGGGCCAAGTTTTCCCCCGGGGTGGGAGTCCTGGGTCCCATGTTCTCCTGCCGCCCTTTCCCATTCAGCGGCTAGGCGAGGAGGAGAGAGCAAAGGATAGAATACAATACAATAGAATGTTGGAAGGGACCTTGTAGGGACATTGCTGGCTGTGGAATTCTGGGAGTTGAAGTCCACATGCCTTAAAATTGTCAAGGTTGAGAAACACTGATCTAGTCCAACCCCACTCCAGGCAGGAGATCCTGTACCATTTCCAGCAGATGGCAGTCCAGTCTCTTCTTGAAAGCTTCCAGTGATGAAACTCCCACAACTTCTGAAGGCAACTTCTGTCCCATTGATTGATGGTTCTCGCTGTCAGAATATTTATCCTTATTTCTAGGTTGAATCTCTCCTTGATCAATTTCCATCCATTATTCCTTGTCTGCCTTCAGGTGCTTTGGGAAACAGGTTGACCCCCTCTTCTCTGTGGCAGCCCCTCAAATATTGGAAGACTGCTATTATGTTTCCCGCGGGGCCCCCCTGTCCTTCTCTTCACTAGACCTGTTTATAGGAGTTGCATGATTCAGAATAAACCATGTGCAGCTTAACCATGTTAATCATGTACATGGTTTATTAATTTGGGGATTAGTCGGGTATGCACCGGATGATGGTTTGTTAATTTGAGCTTCTGGAGTTCCTACAGGTTAGGAAGATAATGGGGGTTCTGCTGGCTAAAGGTTTACTACTGGTGAAAATATTGGTTTATTTTCTTTTGGAATTGATTTATAGAGCACTCATCTTGATTGCTGTTTGTGACTTCAGACGTTGTTTAAAGGACTGTTCTTCATTCTCTGTGCATCCATAGAGGTCATTAGAACAAATAAGTAGGAAATAGAAATCCAAAATGTGTTTTAAATGTATTTCTCCAGTATTTGGAGTCCTTGATAGAGTTAATCGAGACCAGGTCTCCTAATTTCCCCCCAGAGGCAGAGAATTCATTTTACCTAATAAAATTCCTCTCTTTCTTCCTGACATTGGTAGTTATGTAAGATTCACTTTGTTTGATTTTTCCTTTAGAGAAGGATGCTCACTAGTTAAATGTTTCTGGATGTTTGTTTGATTTTCTGTTTTAGGTACATAAACTGGAAATCTTCTGTACTTCCTCTGGACATTAAAGACTAAACTAGGGTCAGATCTTTCACAGTTCAGCCTGTCTTAGGAGGAGGAGTGAAGCAGAACAGCATCTTCACATGTCATTTCAATAGTTAAGTCCACCCATTCTAAATCTTGGAATTTCTTTCCATCTCAGAAATACAAACTGGAAGCCATCTTCAAAATTATGTTTCAGTTAAAGAGGGCTGAATGGCCGGCTATGGCCAGTCCTGAGGCTACAGGAACAATCCTATGAATAAAAAGCATTTGGTGATCCACAAGATTCTTTGAACCCATTTGGATTTGCCTTAAAGGACAGGAAAAGAATGGAGATACAACCTTTACCAAGTGAAGGAATTGGAAAAGGCCCTTCTGCCATTCTGGCTGGAAGCTGTGGGGAAATCTGTGCAAGAATTGGGCAGCAGATGGTGGAGGAGGAAACCATCATCCATTCAGACAGTCAGCTGTGGAACTTCAGGAGCATCCAATATCAGGAGGCTGAGGGTCCCCGAGGACTTTGCAGCCGACTCCATGACTTTTGTAAGCGATGGTTGAGACCACAAAAGCACACCAAAGCACAGATGCTGGACATGGTTGTTCTGGAGCAGCTTCTGGCTATCCTGCCCCTAGAGATGGAGAGCTGGGTACGGGAATGTGGAGCAGAGACCACCTCCCAGGCGATAGCCCTGTTGGAAGGTTTCCTGCTGAGCCAGGCAGAGGAGCAGAAGGAGCAGGTCGAGTTGCAGGTGAGAGACCTTCAAATTGAGAGTCCAGAAAGGATTTGAAGGGAATAAATTTTGACTTCCTCATCCCTCTCTACTAGAGGTGAAGAAATTTACACATTTCATAATATGTAAAGATGTCTCACTAATATGTATATGGCATTCTTCCGTTATTCTTTCCAGTAGATAGATTTGGACAGCTGTTGTTTTCTTACTCAGTTTCAGTGAAAGACACTGCAGGGCTTTGAAGTTGTGTTACGAGAATAAGAATCCACTTTTTGTTGTGTGATGTTTATTAATTCTTCTTCTTTTCTCATTCCTTCTATTTCAAGTCCAGAGATCCTGAGGGAAGAAGGACTCCATCAAATCCTCCTCAGCTGTTTATCAGGAGGATCCGTCAGGAAGATCTAAGTCAGGACACTTCAGGAGGTAATTGAAAGTCCTCCCATTCTCCAGAGAGATAACGGCTGTCTCATTTATTTATTCTACTATTCCTATTCCTTTAGAACAGAGTAGAGTAGAATAACAGTTGGAAGGGACCTTGTAGGTCATCTAGTCCAACTCCCTGCCCAAGCATACCATTTCTGACAGATGGCAGTCCAGTCTCTTCTTGAAAGCTTCCAGTGATNGTAATTGAAAGTCCTCCCATTCTCCAGAGAGATAACGGCTGTCTCATTTATTTATTCTACTATTCCTATTCCTTTAGAACAGAGTAGAGTAGAATAACAGTTGGAAGGGACCTTGTAGGTCATCTAGTCCAACTCCCTGCCCAAGCATACCATTTCTGACAGATGGCAGTCCAGTCTCTTCTTGAAAGCTTCCAGTGATGAAGCTCTCACAACTTCTGAAGGCAATCTGTTCCACTGGTTGATTGTTCTCACTCTCAGAAAATTTCTTATTTCTAGGCTGAATCCTTGATCAGTTTCCATCCGTTATTCCTTGTCTGGCCTGGGAAATAGGTTAATCCCCTCTTCTCTGTGACAGCACCTCAAATATTGGAACACTGCTATCATTTCTCTCCTGGTCTTTCTCTTCACTAGACTAGCCATGCCCAGTTCCTGTAATTTTTACTTTGTAATTCCAGATAACATTGACTTATAAAAACTTATTACTCTTCTCAAATCATAGTAACAAATGTATGGACCAGTGGTGGTGAACTTATGGCACAGGTGCCAGGCGGCGGCACTCGGAGCCCTCTCTGTGGGCACACGTGTCGTTGCCCCAGCCTTGCCTCCCCTCATGACCCCCTCCTCTCCAGCAGTCTCCCTGAAGCAGAGTCGCCCCCGAGCGTGGCCCACGCAGAGCAGGGCAGCCAAGGACATGGCAGCCAGGCAGCATAGACAAGACCAGGGGTAGGCAACCCAAAGCACTCAAAGAGCCACTTGGACACGTTTCCCACCAAAAACAAAACACTGGGAGCCGCAAAACCCTTTTGATATCTAAAATGAAGATAACACTGCATATATCCTTTTTTTACCTTTATTATAGGTATGTGTGTGTGTGTGTATGTTTGTGTGTGTATATATAAAATAAAGGTAAAAAAGGATATATGCAGTGTTATCTTCATTTTAGATGTCAAAAGGGTCTCTCTTTCCTCTCTCTCTCTTTCTCTTCTTTCTCTTTCCTCTTTCTCTCTTTCCTCTAACTTTCTCTCTCTCTTTCCTCTCTTCTGTCTCTCTCTTTCCTCTTTCTCTTTCCTTTCTTTCCTCTTTTTTTCTAAAACACTGGGAGCCGCAAAACCCTTTTGATATCTAAAATGAAGATAACACTGCATGTATCCTTTTTTTACCTTTATTATAGGTATGTGTGTGTGTGTATGTTTGTGTGTGTATATATAAAATAAAGGTAAAAAAGGATATATGCAGTGTTATCTTCATTTTAGATGTCAAAAGGGTCTCTCTTTCCTTTCTCTCTTTCCTCTTTTTCTCTTTCCTCTCCCTCTTTCTCTTTCTTTCCTCTTTCTCTCTCTTTCTCTTTCCTCTTTCTCTCTCTTTCCTCTTTGTCTTCTCTTTCTTTCCTCTCCCTTTCCTCTCTTCTCTTTCTCTTTCCTTTCTCTTTCCTTTCTCTCTTTCCTCTCTTTCTCTTTCCTTTCTCTCTTTCTCAATCTTTTTTCTCTTTCCTCTTTCCTCTCCCTCTTGCTTTCTTTCTTTCTTTTCTCTCTTTCCTCTCTTTTTCTTTCTTTCCTCTCTTTCCCCTCTCTCTCTTTCCTTTCTCTTTCCCTCTTTCCTCTCTTCTCTTTCTCTTTCCTCTCTCTTTCTTTCTCTTCCTTTCCTCTCTCTTTCCTTTCTTTCCTCTCTCTTCTCTTTCTCTTTCCTCTAACTTTCTCTCTTTCTTCTCTCTTTCTCCTCTTTCTTTCCTCTTTTCTTCTCTTTCTCTTTCCTCTCTTTCTTTCCTCTTTCTCTCTTTCCTTTCTTTTTCTCTTTCTTTCCTCTTTCTCTCTTTCTCTTTCCCTCTTTCCTCTCTTTCTCTTTCCTCTTTCTCTCTTTCCTCTCTTTCTCTTCTCTTTCTCTCTTTCCTCTTTTTCTTTTTCTCTCTTTCCTCTTTTTCTTTTTTTCCCTCTTTCTCTTCTCTTCCTCTCTTTCCTCTAACTTTCTCTCTCTCTTTCTCTCTTTCCACTTTTTCTCTTTCCCTCTCTCCTCTCTTTCTCTTCTCTTTCTTTCCTCTTTCTCTCTCTCCCTCTCCCTCCAGGTTAGGAGAGAGAGAGAGAATGAAAGGCAGATGGCGCCGAACGGGCGGGGAGAGCAGGACGGGAGGCAGCAGCTCCCGGCTGCCCCCCCATCGCTTCTTCAGCCAAACGGGCAGGGAGGGGGAGCAGAACGGGAGGCAGCAGCTCCAGTGGCGGCGGCCCCATTGCGTCCTCAGCCAAACGGGCAGGGAGGGGGAGCAGGACGGGAGGCAGCAGCTCCCGGCCGCCCCCCCATCGCTTCTTCAGCCAAACGGGCAGGGAGGGGGAGCAGAACGGGAGGCAGCGGCTCCAGTGGTGGCGGCCCCATTGCGTCCTCAGCCGAATGGGCAGGGAGGGAGAGCAGGACGGGAGGCAGCGGCTCCGGCGGCAGCCACTGCAGCATCGTCGGGGTCCCCGTCGCCGCACCCGCCCCGGCCGCTGCCCCCGCCGCATCCTCAGCCACTTCGCCGTCTTAAGAGGAGGGCGCCAAGGCCGGGTGCACCATGGGCGGCCGCGCCAGCAACGGGAAGTGCTGCCGCGGGGACGAGGGGGGGTCCCGATCGCTGCCAGCCCCGCCACCCTCGCATCCCAAGATCTCCTTCTCCTGCAGCAACGAGGGCAGAGGCGGCGGCTCCCTGAAAGTGCCCGAGGAAGACGCCACCGATGGGGCTGAGGTGGGGCCGGGCGGCGGAGAGCCCTGCGGCAGCCAGGCGAGCTTCATGCCTGACTGCCGTCCGGCCTGGGCTGAGGAGACATGTGGCCGGTTCGGCTTCCCGGGGAGCGATGCTCCCGTTGGCCGCCGCACCAGCCATGACTGCTGCCCAGCACGGAGAGACATGTGGCTGGCTCGGCTGCCCAGGGAGCGGCCCGGGAACGGCCCAGGAAGCGATGCCCCAGCCGAGACTGGAACAAGTAAGCCGGGGGGGCGCACCACCTGCCCCGCAGTCGCTTCGCGGCAGTGCTCCATGAACTCAGAGCCCCCTCCCTCCCCCCGCCACTGACCCTCTGTCTCTGGCTTTGCTGCTGCTTGGCGCCAGCTGGGCATCGGAGGGGCTGCTCTCAGGGCCGCGGTTTACGGGAAGGCTGGCCCGCTCAGCAGAGGCATAGGCAGGCCACTCCCAGCGGGGATCTTGGGGCTTCCCTGCATGGCTCCCCAGCCACGTGCACCTCAGACGGGACCAGCCCAGGAAAGGGACTTCCTGGCCGCCCTTCTCCCAGGGGGTGGGGCACCCGGGCGCAGGGCCAATCAGGAGCCCTGCGAGGGGGCAAGTCCACATGAGAGAGAGAGAGAGAGGGGAAGTGCAAGTGCCTGTCTCTCTCTTTCCTTGTCTCTCTAAGAAAATGGCGGAGGAGGCTCCAGAGCCACAGGGGATGGCTCAAAGAGCCGCATGTGGCTCCGGAGCCGCGGATTGCCGACCCGTGGACAAGACTCTGCCCTCACACCCCATCGTGCACAGTTGATGCTGCAGGGTGCGGGCAGAGGGCGTGACCGCCATAGTGCTGCTGGGCTGCCTGAGCGATCTGCGGTGGGCCCTGGAGGTGGTGAATGGCCCTGCGGGCAGGCGGGGTGGGGAATGGGGGGTGGAGTGGGGGCGGGGCCAGTTTTTGGGTACTCGGTCTCTAAAAGGTTCACCATCACTGGTACAGACATTAGGCCAAAATGAGACTAGCTGATATATACATCTATGTGTTTCTTCCATTATTTTACACTTCTAGCATACAAAACTGATAGTCAACTTCTAAATATTCTCTTTCCTCTGATTTCCCTTCTGAATATATAAACTTTTTGCTTTTACTGAAGAAGAATATATTGTCCTATACCAGAACCACCAGAGTTATTTATTTCTGGGGCAAAAGATTTCACAACTGGGCTCCATCACTGCAATGGCTCTCGGATGAACACCCTCTTTTCCTTGGATTGAAAGAAGACCTGAAGGAAATCTCTTACAAATAATTATAATGCATAGCTAGGTTATGCATAACCCTATATTGTGTTTAAAGATAAGTTATTAACACTTTGATTTTTATAATACTAAATTATAGCAATAGCACTTACTGTTTCATAGTGTTTACAGCACTTTCTAAGCGGTTTACAAGTCAGTATATTGCCCCAACAATCTGGGTCCACATTTTACCAACCTCGGAAGGATGGAAGACTGAGTCAATCTTGAGCCAGTCAGCACTGAACTCCTGGCAGTGGGCAGAGTTAGCCTGCAATACTGCATTCTAACCATTGCACCACGACGGCTCTTATTATGTGATTACTCTCATTATAAAGTTGTCATAAGCCAACATGAGTGCGATATGAACATACTATATGTCTTTAATAGCAATATTAAAAATTAACATTAACAGATATTTCTGTAAGCATACTATCAATTATAACACCACATTTGCACAGGTCAAATTATCCTCTAATGTGATAAGGATATGTTTTATATTTAAAGAAATTCTCAGAGGATGGCCTACTCTAATACTGATTACACATACAGCAATCATTGGCCTCTAAAAACTGTTAACCCTCCAAATTCTGCATGACTTTATTTAAAAATAATCTACTCACTTTAATTATGTATTTTTAAAAATTCTTTGTCCCTAACAGAGAAACAAAGGATGGACTTTCCTGTTCTTTATGGTGAAGCTGAAAGAATGGTTGAACCTCCAAATCAAGTAAGACGGTGAAATTAATTTATTAGATTTGTATTCTCACTTCCAGAAGTGA